TAAACGCCAGTACTTATAACGTAGAACCACTGACGGGCCGTGAGGCAGGGGAAACTTTTGAATGGGAAGGATTTGTGCAACGCCACTTGGCAGAAAGGTGGTCCAGAATGTTTGTCGGAGCATGGGCTACTTTAAATTTGGCGGCACAGCCTTTATTGTATTTTGCAGACGATTTTCGTGTCGACTGTGAGCTGTGCCGCCATTGGGGGCTAAGCAGAAGGACGGGGGCAAAGCAGAATTGCGCCGGGGGCGTAGAGGAACGACGGGGGCGAAGCAGATTTTTGCGGGGGCGAAGCAGAACGGGGCGGGGGCGAAGCAGAACGGCGGGGGCGAAGAGGAAGGAGTTTCATGGGGGTGCCATAGTATACTGATATCTTCGAGGCAAAAATACAATGTTGCTGACAAAATATGGCTGTTTGCTTCATATTGTAAGCTGGTTCCGAACATTGTGTATGTAACTGTTACACTATGTATGTTTTTGCAGTGCAAGTACGCATTTCAACTGTATTACTGCTGTGCTACGGAATGGTGCTTTTTAGTGCAATCATAAACTTTTCCTGTTGTACGTACGTATACTGAAAATTCAATTTCCTGCAAAAATAAATATGCTTTAATATGACTTGCACGGCTGGGTGAGCGATTGCAACCTACATGTGTACCTGTGATGCTCACTGTACACCAATTTGAATGCACACTACATGTACATGTACTTGTAGAGGTTGTAGGCTGGAGGTTTTGTTTTTGTAACACCTTTAGCATGTTAAAGAACCCACCGCACTTATTGCTATGTGTATATACATATATGGGTCCTTTGCAGTGTGAGTGGATGAAACCATACAGTCTGGTATTATGCAGTTTGTACTACTTACTTTAAAAACTGTTGTTTTAATACATGTATATTGCTTTGAGGCAGCATATCGTTTATGAAAAGAAAAAAAAAGGGTGATATAACCTTTATGCTAACCTTCTAACACACTCACTAGTGCTGCTTACCTAAACCCACATTTAGGTTTAGGTCCGGATTCAAGTCCAGAGGTTTAGGTTCAGTTCCGGACTTGTAAGTCCAGACCTAAACCCATGGCATATACAAAAAAATTTGCATGTTGCAATGTTGTCTGGGTGAAACTTTGGCCACATAACATGGAGGCCGACACTTTATGATGCCCGATGGCAATGTTTTCTTCATTTTGCAGCAAAGATTTTGCAATCTACGGAAGGTTTTAGGTGGTTTGGAAAGAAAAGGGGTATGTGAAATGGTCTTTTATGGTAATAAGTCCGGACTCGGTTCTCAACTTAACATTCTTACAAGTCCGGATCCAAGTCCAGTGAACCGGTACGCAGCACTAACACTCACTACTCACTCACTATCCGGTTCAGCGTCTGTTGTTCGGAACTTGTTCCCCATTTTCCGAGGGTTAGACGTACTATCACACTAATGCTGAGGCTTGATGGCAGCAAAACACAATGAAACACAACACATAGTATAAGAAAACACAACAGTGCTACCAGTTGTGCCAACTCACCTGTCCATAATTATATGGCCACACTCACTCTCTATGGGAATAAACATTAACAGTTCCTGTTCCAAACATCCCAATTGGCATCGTCTGTTACCACCTATAGCCTAGTACTAGTAGTAGGCTCAACGCACATCGTGCAAGAGGACTGAGTGAGTGAGTGTTACCACCTATTAAATAAGTTTAAAAGAAACAATGGCAACGGTTTCTGAACAGTTTTTAGAGTGATCCATATCTCCTAAATTCTGAAATTTGTAAAATTTGTCTGGTGCTGATAATTTTTTATGCAGGTATCTCCAAAAAAGTATTTTGAGCCCTGCAGTTTCATTTTTGAAGGGGAACCCTAGGCCTTATAATGGGCTCACTCTTAAACTAAAGCCTATTTTTGCCAAATTCTACAATCCTACCCCTTACAAAGGCCTGGTGGAGGCTAATTTCTCATTCCCCCTTAACGGCTTGTGCTTCCTCTGCCCTCTGTTCCAAGGCCAGAGCCTCTAGTCTATTCTGTAGGGTTTCTCCGAACGATTGTCTGTATCCCAAGCTGAGGTCATCCAACAGTGCATAGATGGTCTCGTAGTGCCGGGAGTAACAGGACTGGTTAACCTCGTCAAACTTGTGACCAACCACCTGAAGGAAAGAGAGAGAGTATGATACTATACTCATTTTCACCTGTCGCAGGGCTCGAAATTAACGGTGTCCCGATGGCCAGAGACCACTAAAATTTAGGCTGGGACAACTAAAGAGACACTTAAGGACATTTTTGGGACAATACAAAAATAATCAACATCAGAATATCAGCCCTCCTTTTGTTCTAAGTAGGCACACGTCCCTGCTATTGGATCCAGAAAATTCCCCCGAATTTCCTGTCTACTCTGCAATTATAGTGCACCTGGGAGTGAACATAAGCAAAATAAAGTTGACTTCAACTCAAGTTGAAGTCATACAACATTTCGCAAAAAACAGTTTGGGACAGTTCATCCTCACTTTGGGACAATTGAAATTTATTCTTAGGGACTGTGCTGGGACAATAAGAAGAAAAGTTTTTTTTAAAATTTGAGGCCTGCTGTCAAGAGAGGAAAGTCGTGTCAAGTTCCTTGCCAAAGGGTATAAGATCAGTCTCTTGGCAAGGTTCGAACCCAGGACCTCTTGGTTCTGAATTGAGCACAATATCGTAGTGCCACACATTACCCTAAAAATATTTATTTTGTGATACAATTGTAGTTATAATTCTTTTGTACTACAGATTTGATTCAACCATGAAATTCAAACATCTTGAAAATCTTTTCCCTTATACCATAAAATAAAACTACTGCAAAAGTAAATACATGCATGCAAAATGTCCTTGGTATGACTTATTACATGTTTTTATGTATTTAATATGAGTATACAGTTTTCCCTTCAAATAGATTTTGTTTTCAGTACTATACTATGTGCTTTTTAATAATCATGGTAAGGCACATCAGGACACTGACAGGAAGTTAGGTCAAAGGTCCCAGATAGACAAGGTTATTTCTTTTCCTGTCTTTAATTTTCTGCTACATGGATGTTGACTTTTTGGAGCCAGCAAGAAATTCACTATGAGTTGGTTAATTTCTTAGATTTTGAAATCTCTTCAACCCTGAGGCATTGCCAAAAAACATATAATCAACTGGATAAACACTTAACAAATACATATTAAACACAAAATAAGCAGAATTTACCTTTGTACAAACAAATTCGGGGTACAAATAATGTAGATTTTTCATCCCAGTCCACTGTTTCTGTGTTGTTCTCTTTTAAATCATCACTTCAAAACATCTGAGAACCAACAAAGTAACGTTACATGTAAATTAGTCTGGCCTTAGCATAATTGGAATTTTGAAGGACACTTACCCGAAAACCTTGTAATGACAGCTCCAGACACAGACTACATTCCTCCTTGGTCTGTACATTAATGTAGACAGTCTGGTCTGTACTAGTTAGTGTTGTTGACTTGTAAACATGTCTCACAGCAAAGCCTATCTCCTTCACTGCCTCTGCCGCTTCCAGGTGCAACAATTTCACTTCTTCTTGGTCCAAGCTTTCTCTCTGTTCAGTGTCTTTTCCAGGAATGTTAGAAAGTGATGGTTTTATTGTATCTGGATTGTTCGTATCTCTGGTTGATGTTTGTGCCTGCTTTGCTGCAACATCTGAGGCTTCTGCGGATGACTGCAGTGGTTCCATTGCTGCTGCAGGGTTGGGGTTGAGTTGTTGCTTCGTGTGCCCATCTTTACTGTTAGGATTGCTGTCCCGTGCAGCTCTTTTTTCTGCCATCTCTTTTTCGCAACCTGCAATGTAAGAAAAAGAGACTATTACCAATGTAGAGCTTGAAATCATTTTTTTTCTTCTAAACACTGAAAATTACTTGCAACTGCAACAGACAAATTTTAACTGCACTACCCGGAATTTAGGACTATATGGATGACTATAGATCATACTAAAATCTGTTCATAAACCATAATATGTCCTTATAATGTCTTTTATCCTTCATACACTGTAGGTGGTAACAGTCAATGCAGCAAATAAAAATGCTCATACATGTACATCTTCATGTACAGTATATACATATATTTAAACTCAGTACATGGACCAGTACAGGTTAGGTGCAGGTAGACATCAGAAATACCTGCACAGCTCCAATTTTACCTGCACCATGGAGGTAAATTTACCTCCATGCCTGCACTAACCGGATACTCAGTACATGGACCAGTACAGGTTAGGTGCAGGTAGACATTAGAAATACCTGCACAGCTCCAATTTTACCTGTACTAACCTGCATATACCCAGTACATGGACCAGTGCAGGTAAGGTGCAGGTAGACATCAGAAATACCTGCACAGCTCCAATTTTACCTGTACTAACCTGCATATACCCAGTACATGGACCAGTGCAGGTTAGGTGCAGGTAGACATCAGAAATACCTGCTCTAACTCGCATATACAGGTGATATTTCCAGCCGTGTATTGCCATGACAAGTCATGTGGTCCTTATGCAGGTGTATTTACTTGTATAAGTTGGACTGTATTAGCTCTAACATACGCCAAAAAGTGCTGATCTAGTCTCTAGTCACAATTTCAGATGGGTGGGGAGGGGGGCGGTCATATCATTGATACATTTCCCTCTACGACTTCAAAGTTACACATTGTCATCACTGCAGCATGGAAGAAACCAGCACAGTCTTTATCGCTGACCGAAGACTTACCTTGAGGTGCCGCCAAACCTTTCAGAGAGACGCTGTTCCGCGTTTACTTCGGAGTCGGCTGAAAAAAGTATCAGGCGACCACCATTTTGAATTACCCATGAGGCATGGCGCTTGTATTTTGTTTTGGCTAGCAGACGACAAAAAATGCATAACTTTGTCAAAACACGACAAAAATGAAAAATTCATCGCGATTCAATTGTTTTAATAGAGTACGAAATATTAACTGAAGCAAACGCTAGACAAAGGCTAATATTAAAAGACTAGAATTAGATTAGAATACGATCACAAACAGGGTAGGGCTGTAGTCGTGTCACTGCAGCGACACCTAGCAACGGGAAGTAGAACCGCACTGCAGATGTCTAGGAAAACTGCCAAGTGCAGATTGGTCTCACCTTGGAGGTATGTGATTTCTACCTCCCTGGTCTGACTATATTATCCACCCCCACACTGTCAAAACCATGTGGGCAAAATTACTTTCACGAAAATTAGTCTGTGAGTCAGATAGCTGATGAAACAACTATACCACGTGACCCGCTGTATCACAAAGTCATCATTTTCACTCTGCCACACCGACGACGACAGTTATATTTTTACGTACAGCATCTTCTTTTAAAAGGTAAGCCAATTTTTGACAAACTCTCTTACTCCATATTCTTATAATGACAAACAAGTACAGACACTCAAGTTATATATACATTAACTTGTATTAGCGCAGCCACCAAACAATGGAAATGTCTATAAAACTACAAAAAGAATTTTAAGATATAACGTTTATGACAAATGTATGCAACGTCAAAAATATATATAAACGAGATGCTGACAAACTATTTAGGAATTTTGGTGGGAGGAAAACACTAGAGAGAAATGACGCGGTCGTCATAGGCAAGACGTTGGGCCAGGTGCGATCCTAAATAGTGCCCTTTGTGGTCGCGTTGGGCAAGCGGTTTAGACAAGTACAACGTCCATGGGTAAAATCTGGACCGAGAACAATTGGTCGTTAGGGTCGGCTTATAGAGGCGGTCGCTTAGACAACTGACTGTACCTTGTATCGAAATAGAAACTTCAGTAAAATTAACGTACCTTAGCTTTATCACCCAGTATGTTTCAAAATTAATGTGTATGGAAAGGTACTAAAACATCGCGCGTCTTTTCACTGGGAAAAAACTATAACGTACATATGCATTACATGATGTCTTTAATCGTCTTAAACGAAGCCAACCCCCTTAATGATAGAAAACGCAAAACGAATTTATCTCCCCATTGCTGAGAAAGTATATTTTGTTGTGAAACAAAATGGTGAAGAACAAAAACATTCATTTATTCATATTAGGCACTAGACAATACTGTACCTAGCTATAGAGATTGTGTATATAAGATTACATAGCTGCAATGTTTCTATACGCACGATATGACGAAGTGTCTCCAAGAGCAACAGACTATTATGTGATACTTGTTTTTTAAACTACGCCAACACAGGAATCGTTACAACTCAGCAACAGACACTATTCTCTGAGGCTCGGGGAAGCTTCTGAATTTCTGAAAGGTACATTACTGCTTAGACTGTTTGGTTTTTAAGTACGGAAGGGTTGTTTTGGATGGCTGTACTGTATGTTTGTGTGTCTGCCTGTCTAGAAAGAGTAGACAGCACGGGGGTAGGGTAGATTGACAGACAGGATGACAAAGGTCAGACATAGGAAATGGCTCTGGCCGGGTAATGGGAAAATTCAGGCAGCCCGGGATTACATAATGAACCCTAATATATACTTCACAAGTCTAAAATCTCCGATTTCTTAATTTCTATGATTATATACAAGAAAATGCAATCACGTTTGAAATAAAGGGTGTGTTCAAAACCGAATGTGGTTAAGTTATAATCTATGAAAAATCTGTAAAGTAAAGCGAAGAAGAAAGTATGTCTCATCATTTTGGTTTTTTTTTTTCAATTTAAGTATCTCTTATTATCCGGACGGATTAGGTTGAGAGCACGTGGGTGGGAAGGATGACAGACAGAATGATAGATTGGGAGCCGGTGCCAACAGGCAAAAATCGACATTCAAGAAGCCGAGGATCAGATACTTTCAGGAAATCTGAATTCTTCGATTTTTGTTGTTTATTTGCATTAATTCAGGATATTAAAGGAAGGCCTCTGCGGGTGAAGAAAAAAAAGCCGAGACACCCGGTCCAAAGGACAACCAGTATCCCAAGATCGCCTTGCAGCCAAGAAAACAACATCAGCGTATAACAAGCTTAGGCCTTTTTTTCGTAAGGTTAGACATAATAACAAGTATATTAACAAACTAAAAGAACAGCGCTAGCGTTGTAACGGAATTAGAAAGAAATCTCCTGTAATTAGCTGGTAAAAAGACATCCTTTGAGCAACGTACGAGCGATCAAAAATACTGGTCATAAAAATTATCGAAATATTATAAGACGACTTGTATATTATTGAAAGATCGTTGAAAATCATCATCTTTCAGCGCTCTCTAAAAGACTTATAAGAGATTTGTCAATTGTTGGGCGCTCAAAAGGTCTCGCTTCTTTAGATTCCACATCTAAAATTACTTAAACGAGCCTCTAAGATAGCCCAAGACATGTTTGTATTTCTAATGTTGGCCGTCGTATCTCTGAACGCTATCCACAACAGTCAGGCAACAACCTTAGCAGAAATGCTGTTAAAAGGATGCGGCGTGGATTGGTCTGATATTTTAACCGCCATGCGCTGTCGCAGCAAAGGGCTTACAAGTCCTCCAGTAGAGTTGCCGCAGCAAATCTTTGAACTGGACCTTTCCAACAACAGCATTACAAGCCCCCCTTGCTTGCACCTCCCAAACTTGTACAAGCTCGTCTTACGGAACAACAGAATCGCACACTTTCCCAGGGAATGTTTGAAAAAAATGCCTCTTCTCTCTGAGATAGATTTGTCCTACAACAATCTTTCCTGTATTGACATCTTCTATGACATCTCCTTTAAGAAAGGTGGGCATCTAAGAAAGCTGGACATTTCTTATAACAAACTGGCGACTTTTTCTTCGTGTGAATTAGGAATAGATATGACTAAAACATCGGTTGTGCCATACGTGATTTTGTTGGGAAACCCTATTCACTGTGATTGTCGAATGGCCTGGCTGATCGAGTTGATGAAAGTCACCAAAAGATGTCTAGACGGAAAGATTTGTTGTGTTTGCCTGTTTGACGGAAATTCACTAGCCTTTCGGTTGTTCCAGCAGAGAGCTGTGTTCCGCTGTGCATCTCCCTCTAACCTAACTGGAATAGAACTGTACAGGCTGAGTACTAGTGTCTGTTTTTCCAATGAAACATGGAGCCTACACAAGCCCTGTTCTCTGGACTATTCCTGTCCCATACCAGACCAAAACTCTCCCCCATCCACAATTACTCCTGCGTCTTTGCCGCTACAAACCACCGGTAGTTTTCAAACGACCGGTAGTTTTCAAACGACCGGTAGTTTTCAAACGACCAGTATTTTTTTTGATAGCTTACTATCCAAAAGGCAACATGCGGAGCTACGCCATGCCCTTCAAAATACGACAACCACTTCCAAAGTCGTTGGCGCCGCATCTACAGCAAAATTTGTCACGCAAACCTCAGAAAACGGCCACAGCAACAACGACGTTGACTCAAAGATCAGAGACTCTGAGTGGTTGTTGACTTCTATCGGTGTAGTCATGGCAGTGATTGTTACCCTTTGTTGTTTGGTCCTTGCCGTGTATTCATGGCAAAGGGAGCTGTAAATGAAGTCCCTGGTAAACAAGTAAACAACATCCCCACTTCGCAAAACAACATCAGTCATGCAGAATCTGATTCTTACACGTATGCCTTTACCCAACTTGATTTTTATTATCATCATTTATGTCTTGTTTATTTGCATATCGTTATATATACAGCAAAATACACAATCAATCAATCAATCAATCAATCAATCAATCAATCAATCAATCAATCAATCAATCAATCGCAAGTGATAGCAAATGGACAAATATTCCGCGGGGGCCTGAAACCTTTCTATTTTTTTCGTGGGACTTCCCCAAACGAAATAGTAAATGTTACATTAATATACAGTTTTATCCTTTCCACCATAGGTACTAACGTTACACTATCAAAATGCATAGGGTCAAAACTGTATTTTGGCTGCATTGCCACAGCACTGATACCTTTTTCTGTTGCCTACTTATTTTGGATTCGCAGCTAATATTAGACATACATTAGACTGTACACTCTAGGCTGTATAATAGACATGGTAATCTCCAAGCAGATCTTTTGGTGGCTACATTCAAGACAGTAAGTATCCAATTGGCAAGGCAGTGAAAAATTGGCATAGCAATATCCTATATGCCACCGTAGATGTGGTTGTAGACAAAAAGCTAAGTAACCCCCATAAAGACACCCAAAAAGATGAGAAGAATAAGCCAAAGACTAAAATTCTGCATGGAGAGTATGAACATTGTGTATTACTATGATTGACAATTGCCTAGTACGATTAAATGTATCATCTGGTATTTTCTTGTGTATGTAGATGATGAGCAAGAGGTAATTGTCTTCATAATAGACTCTGAAACATGTATCTCTACTACAAGAGCGAAAAAAACAGTGCTTTCGATGTTAGACAAATGTCATCAGTTCTGTTGTATATCAATTATAAAGCGTTATAGCAAATATCATGTTACTTGGTGCTTGTATTAGTATCACTTATCACAGTTTGTATGTAACCATACATTCTGAATTGTAAGAGAAAGCATGTATACAAATTGTGATTTCATAATAAGCAGCTTCGAAACGCCTCTATGGTGCGTTAATAGTATAAACAAGACCATACAAGTGCTGCAATTTTAGGAAACGTTTGCTTCACATTTGCACACCTGGCGAGTATTGTAGCTGTACGTGACAACATGTACATATTATGTGACAACACCCTACGTTTGGGACCGCAATGTGTTGTAATATTGCAGCAGCGACACCTAGCTGCAGTACGAATCAGAACCAGTCGTTGTTGACTTGAATAAGGTTACAGACGGTCACGATGTAAAACCTCTGGTTGTTGAAGAATAAAGACGCTTCTTA